CTTTTCTTATTCCTCCTTGCTATGGGGAATTCTCTTTCTCCTGAGCAGCGTCAACACAAAACCCAGTTGTTGGGATTGTTAAAGGCCTCTAAGCTTAAGGTGTCAGAAGAAGCCCTTACCCAACTTCTGCTTTTAATTGAATCTGCCATTTCCCGACAGGTAGACAATCAACAAGCAGCTGAAGTTCTTGTCTCCAGCTTGCTTATGAAAATGCTAATGCTGACTGTTTTAGCTCTCTTAAAGGTACAGAGTCTTAATCTAGCTGAAATGATTAGAGCATGTCAGAATGTTGGCACAGAAACTCATAAGGCACAAGTATTAGCAGCAGCTCTCCGTCCATCCACTGCCACCTATTTTGGATGCAGTAAACCTGGACATTTTAAGAAAGAATGTCACAGTTTAAAAAACAAAAATGCCAACACTAAACTTCCAGCCCAAAAGTGTCCCCGCTGTAGTAAAGGCTTTCACTGGGCTAATATATTCTGGGTTTCGCTATGCTACAGCCCTTTCTGGAGAACATTTTACTCATGCCTGTCGTCATTTCACCCAAACCATTGCAACTATGGGATGTCCCCAAGCTCTTAAAACTGATAATGGTCCTGCATATACTTCTGCTAAATTTCAACAATTTTGTGCCACTTAAAATATTCTTCATTCCACTGGCATTCCTTATAACCCTCAAGGGCAAGCCATAATTGAACGTGCCCATCATACTCTCAAACAGCTCTTAAATAAACAAAAGGGGGGAGATGGCGGGTCTAGAGTATGTGACCAGAATGAAAGACTTGCCAAAGCTCTCTTTACTTTTAACTTTTTATCGGTTGCCAAAGATGGTCGTACCGCTGCAGAACGACATTTTACCCCCGGCCCCGACACCCGACCTCACCCACAGGTCCTCTATAAAGATCCTCAAAATCCCTCTGTATGGCAAGGACCTGTAGAATTATTAACCTGGGGGCGAGGGTATGTGGCTGTTTTGTCTCCCACATATCCACTTTGGATTCCCGCCCGATTAGTAAAACCATATCATGACCCAGCAACAGCCACCACCCTTCCGCTGGGAACCGCTGCCACTGCCCCTGCTGCGGCTGCCAGAGCCACCATCTGATCCGACTCCAGAGCCACAACTGACATCATCATCCCCTCCCCCGGGGAAGGAGAATGAACAACAGAGCTCTGCAATATGGGTAACATGTGGAGGTCTGAAAGCCCTCTCCCCCAAAGCTGAGCATATCCTCTCAACTGGAGGTGCCCCAC